TTGGACGTTTGACTGCTCCGTGTCCGTTAATAACCTTTGGAGGGTGGGAAGGGGGAGGTAGTCAGTAAGACTTCTAAAATGATAAATAGAGTCGGGCACACACATTCCCACAGACGAATTCGAAATACACACGACAAAGAGAACAACTCAGAAGACTATAAAAGATTTGTTATCAATTGCAAGTGCCATCCAATAGCCTTAGCAATCAACACTGTTCCTTAAATCGAGCGGATGTAAAACTACTGTAAGAACTAGATTTACATTTTTTGAATCCTCACCTGCCATGGAATTTATCAGGTGCTTCCACTCTCTGAAGATGAAAATCTAAACAAAGCTCAGCTCCAATTCCGATGCCAAAGTAGTTATTCATGGTAAAAATACTAGGATCGTCCTCTCTTCCTCCCATTGAGCCAAGTGCGCTGTCGTTTGACAGTGTGTCAGGAACGTTATTGTCCACGGAATCAAACATGACACACCATCTATCAAGAAACACTTCGTGAGCCTGGTCAATGGCCATGAGTAACGATACAGGACTCTCGCCGTCAGAGTAACTACTTCCCCAATGGACGATACGAGAGAGAGATTAGATTGTACGTTTACAATCTAATTTAGTTTCCCAAACATTATCTATCCACTAAGAAGAACACTAGAGAGGTCAGTACATGCAAGCTGAGAATCTCATCCAACTTCCATCTCAATCTGTATCCACTAACGAAATCGCCACAAAGAAATTATGTATCGCGAGAGGGAAGTGGGCGTCAGTCCTTCCCAACAGAGTATAAAGGGGGAACATTAGAAATTGACTGAGGAATCCTAAGAATATTAAAATCCCTTATGGGCGATGAGTAATGGCCTGTCCCGAGGTCGAGAATCTCAGGCAATTTCCAACCTATTCTCCATCTACTATGCTCCGAGGAAGGGCTGACGATTGAAACGACAGCTTTTCAAAATGCGCCATAGCTGTTTGTCTATCACTGTAAACCTCTAGTTGTCAACCACGTGCTGGAAACGCTCATTTAATTGTCACATGGAGCATAAAGCTTCGAATAATTATCGATGATCGTTTCTTGATCTTCTTTTAAATACAAAGGCTGTTGAGGCCTAAAAAGTTAGACTGGAAAGTTTGCACGACTTTTTGGAGTGTCCATCACCTAGAAGCACGTGAGGAAAAGTAGAGGTTAGTTTTCGATTGACCAAGTTTGTCGCATGAGTCTTGGGATCGATCACACAGCCCAGTACAACAAAACCTACACAAGGCTTTATGTTCGACTCTGGAGACAAATTTTCTCTAACTCGCAGTTTACAGGAGTCACTTGTAACAATCCACTTACCAGTGCCAAGAGGAAGTACTGCTGATGCAGGTAACTTACACTTCAACTCTTGAACAACATCATCCAAACACGACAACACCCAGCCAACTGTCCCATC